ATAGTGGGCATGGTCTATGAAGCAGGACTGGCTGTGAATTGTAAACTGTCAAAACCGGATGATGTGGGGTTCTTTTCTCTCTTCTCTCTTTTATTGCATATGTTCAAAATTTTCCGTGAAAGAATTCTGGTCCTTGAATAATGCAGGTCCTGCACCCCAGACCTCATAATTCTCAATCAAATATCATGAGAGACATTTTGAGCTTTGTAACAATAATCCTTTGTTACATTTCAAAACAGGAATTCTGCCCAGTTCTGTTTTGCCTAGAGCAGGAAAATTCATGGACTGGAAAGAAATAATGCCTTGATTTCATTTGGAAAAACAAACTGTGGGAGACACGTGATCCCCTTTGTTACCAGCATGGGAGGAATCCAGCCACCGATAGAGGCAAAGTCAAAACTCACAAGAGTGAAGGCAAATTTTTATGGTAGCTGGAACCACATGCTTATTTGAGAAAAATCACTCCCAAGAGAAGTTTTCTGACACGGGTGCACTTGGCATGAGTGTGAAAGCTGAGAATGAGTTGAAAAATTGCAGCCTGGGTGTAGCAGGCAGCATGAGGCCAGTGCTTTGGGGCCACAAGTCACACCCCACCCAGACAGAGACTGCAGGGACAGAAAGGAGCCCACTGCTGTCACCCCTGGCATTGGTTGACCTAGTGCCCACCCCTCTGGCTCTTCTATCCCACACACATCACAAAGACAGAAGGCTGCTCTGACAGTGTCCCCAGCTGTGCAAGAAGGGGACACTAGCCATCACCTGCTGGGGGCAGGTCCCATGTGCTTCTCCGAAGCCATGTCCTTGGCAGACCATCTCCAGGCTTCAGGGCAGAAACCAGATTTCTTTTCCCAAACAGACCCCATTCTTGCACAGGTAAACTCGAAAGCTAGAAGACTGCATTTTGAACCTAAGCAAGTGATCCCATGTTTCTTCTCTTTTCTGAGGGGAGAAAATAGATGAGGAAATTAAGGTGTTCACCTCCCCTGGAAAGCAACAGGCACGGAACAGGTATTGAGAACCCGGCGCAGCAAGCGTGTGAGGGCTTGCTCTGTGCCAGGCCGTGTGGGACGTGCAGGGGAGAACGAGCCAGGGTTCTCACCCTCAGGGAGACTGTGGGGGAGGAAGGAAACAGGTTTGCAAAATCTCCTAGGTAAATACTGAAGCAGAAGGACACAGAGGTCCCATAACCCAAGCAAGGTAACTGTTAGGTAGCAGAAGTCACACTTAGGGCAAATCACTCAGTCTCGGTTAGTCATCTATAAAATGGGGTGATTCTTGCCTTTTGTAGCCTCTAGAGTTCTATAATAAAGATGATAATGATTAAGAGGAAGCAGCAGGAGGAGGAGTAGAAAAGGCTTTTTTAGATCCTGCTGCCCAAAGAGCTTGTGACTGGTGCCCAAGGACCAGCTCCCCTGGGGATGACAGCCAAGGCCAAGGCAGGTTCCTGATGCGGGCAGCTGTCCACTCCCCAGCCAGTCCCAGGAGCACCAGTGCCCTGTGCCCTCATTCCCAAAGGTGTTTCCCCTGGGCAGCTCATTACACGCCTAGAGCTGCCCTAGCATGAGTAACCTCTCCAACTCATTAAAACTCAACTCATAAAAAGGGTGAAGGTGCTTAGTCCTAGCATTCTTACTACATTCCAGAGTTGAAGAGCCAGAAGGAACATTCCAGAACATAGTGAAAAGCCCTGGAAGCTCCAGCAGGGAACATGACCTGCTCTAGTCGCTCACTGAGTTGGGGCGGTGGAGGCTGGAAGCTTGTTCTCTGGATGCCCTGTTCCAGCATACGTGCGCTTTTCCAAGAAAAGTCTTGCCAGCACTGACTCTATTGCCTTTGATATTCTTAGTCTCAGGGCAAAATCCAAAAAGAAAAATTCCTCCCGATAACCTTTTCCCAAGCTCTCTGTTCTTTGGGGTCTCACATCCTTTGGGGAAATGTTTTTTAAATGCCTATTATGGGGCAGCGCCTGTGGCTCAAAGGAGTAGGGTGCCGGCCCCATATGTCGGAGGTGGCCTGTTCAAACCCAGCCCTGGCCAAAAACAAAACAAAACAAAACAAAACAAAAAGTATAAATGCCTATTATGCAGATGACCCTACTCACAACACAACATGGGTTCAAAGAGGTGAAAATGAGAGGTCTCCTGTCTTCAAGGAGCTCTTTCTTTTTATTTCTTTTCTTTTTCTTTTGAGACAGTCTTACTATGTGGCCCTTGGTAGAGTGCCGTTGTCACAGCTCACAGCAACCTCAAACTCTTGGGCTTAAGCAATTCTCCTGCCTCAGCCTCCCAAGTAGCTGGGACTACAGGTGCCTGCCACAGCACCCAGCTATTTTTTGGTTGCAGCCTACATTGTTGTTTAGCTGGCCCGGGCCCGGTTCGAACCCGCCACCCTCAGTTTATGTAGCTGGCTCTGTAACCACTTGCTATGGGCACTGAGCCAAATGTTTTGGAAAGGTGCCGTTTTTCGTTTGTTTGTTTTTTTGAGACAGTCTCACTTTGTTGCCCCTGGTAGAGTACCGCTGTGGCGTCACAGCTCACAGCAACTTCAGACTCTTGTGCTCAAGGGATTCTCTTGCCTCAGCCTCCTGAGTAGCTGGGACTACAGCCATCTGCCACAACCCCCAGCTATATTTAGGGATGGGGTTCTCACTCTTGCTCAGGCTGGTCTCTGAACTCATGAGCTCAGGCGATCTGCCCGCCTCGCCTCCCAGAGTGCTGGGATTATAGGTGTGAGCCACCATGCCCGGCCAGAGCTCTTTCTCCAATATCACTGAAGTACTCTTTTTTTATTTGTTTGTTTGTTTTTGAGACAGAGTCTCACTTTGTCACCCTCCATAGAGTGCCATGGCGCACAGCACACAGCAACCTGAGTCCTTCTAACCCAATCCTCTTTGGTCACGGGTGCAAGCAGAAATCTCACTGCTGCATCTCTTTACTTCCTGAGTTTTCCCATTCATGCCCAGTGGGGAGCTCCTTCCTCTCCTCCTCCCCCACACCCGGCTCTGGCAGGATTGTGAGCTCAGAAAAGGCAGCAGCCTTACTTGGGAAGTCTCACCTCTGTGCGATGCCTTTTCCTAACCCTTGGTGTTTTGTGAAGCCTCAAGGTGGCTCTGCTCTGGCCCTCCTGCCCCCCACGTGGTACTCCAGTTTGCCCCTGGGGTGCCTGTTTTGGAATCTTTCAGGCCCGGCTTCCCCAGTCACCATCTCTGAGTCCAGGTCTTTAAGGCCTTGAAAATAAAAACAGAACAGCTCCATGGAGACTCTGGCATGCACAAGTGGGAAAGCTGCTGTCCAGTGAAAGTTTGGACTGGAGATTCCTAAATCCCTTCACGCTCTAACATTTCTGAAAAGGCGTATTCAAAGGTTGACAGCCTGAACAATTAGTAAGGTTCCGCTGTGTGTGTGCAGACCCAGAGAAACTAAGCCTGCACCAGCTCCTCATAGCATTTTACATGACTGTGGGTACCAAGTATCTGAGTCTCCCCACACTCAGATGAGGTCCCCTCATTAGAGCACAGGGTATAGAGGCTTGGATTCTGGGAGGCCAGTGTGAACACTTGCACTCCAGTGAAACAGCGTGTTGTCTAAGGTAGGTGTCCCAGAAGAGGAGGTGTCCTGCCCCTTTGCTCTGGTTACACTCTTCCTGTGTCAAAATCCTTATGAATGGACCCCAGGGGCCCAACCTGATCCTCAGCTCTAGTAGAGCAGCAACACGGTTCTACCCTAACGAGCTGTAACATGCCAATGATTTGCTTTTCTGAAGATTTGCTTCTCTGCAAATCCGTTTAATTACGGTGGGAGATAATCTTTTAAACATAGATTTACATTCTTTAAAGACTTTTCCCTGTGGGAGTAGGGGAGTTTATCTGAACACGGGATGTTTATTTTCATCTCCTGAGCAGGGACTGCTATCTGGCAGTTAGCAAGGAGCTTGAGCCCTGGAGGATTCTTTTTTAAAATATCTCTTCCTCCTCCCTGATGGGGTATCAATTATATTGTAATAATTAGTTAGTAGTATTGTCATACACCCCTCCACCCCTGCTTATACCTTATACTTCGCTCTGTGATTCCAGGCCTATAATTACCTGACATTTTCTTTTCTTTTTTGGGGGGGGAACAGAGTCTCATGATGTCCCCCTCAGTAGAGTGCTGTAGCATCACAGCTCACAGCAACCTCAAACTCTTGGGCTTAAGTGATTCTCTTGCCTTAGCCTTTCCAGTAGCTGGGACTACAACGCCTGGCTATTTTTTGGTTGTAGTTGTCATTGTTGTTTAGCAGGCCTGGGCTGAGTTTGAACCTGCCAGATCCGGTGTATGTGGCTGGTGCTCTAACCCCTGAGCCATATGGGCTGAGCCAATTACCTGACATTTTCTAAGCATCCCTATTCGGCCGGGTTCTATACGTACTCTGGATGGGGGTGCCAAGAGACAATGTCCCCAGGGGTTTCCCATCAGGAAGATCATATTTGTAAACCCACCAGACTCAAAGATCTACGTGGAGCTGTGATCAGCCAGACACTAATTTTTCCCAACACGGAGCGCCCTGGAGGGGTTCATGACATTCTTCCCCACTAGGATGCCTGCCAGGGCACATAGGGGCTCTGCTATGTTCAACCTGGCAGCTCCGAGACCCAGAGCAATTCCTGGCTCCTAACAGGTGCTCCATAAGCAGATGCTAAGTTGCTTAAAGCCAAGAAAGTCTTCACGTGGAGAAGGTGTGTGCTGTGTCAACTATGAATCATGAACAAACTAAAACAGAGCCTGGGGGGCTCCACCTTGGGCACGGGCTGCTCTGGTCCTTCTTCCCCCGTATCACTCATGAGCAGGGGGTCTCGAGGTGTTTGCTGGACCGATTCTGTCAGCCTTGAAGATTTACCCCTGAGGATGAAGAAAAGAGGAGAAATGGAGTAATTATATGGAACACAGAATTAGAAGGTAGAGGAAAACTACCTTCCTTTGTGGAAAACTGACTGAAGCTTGACCTTGAATCTCTCCTTCCAGGTCCTGATGGGGAGGACAGCTGGTCCAGTAAGTACCCATCATGTGGGGGCCTGCTGCAGTCCCCGATAGACCTGCACAGTGACATCCTCCAGTACGATGCTAGCCTCCCACCCCTCGAGTTCCAAGGCTACAATGTGTCTGCCAACCAGAAGTTTCTCCTGACCAACAATGGCCATTCAGGTGAGGGAGAGACCTCAGAAGTCTGAGGGGTGTATCTGAGCTTCCCTCGGCTCCCCGCTTGCCCTTGCCATCTTGCAGGGAGGGGGCTCCACTGTGGCACCGGGGGCCTTTGAGGGTTGAGAGAGGCCTGAACCACTTTCCCTAGGGATGCTGGAGGCCCGGGGGTGGGCCTGCCTGGGCAGCTTGTCTCTGAAGCACCACATCTCTCGGGCTGGGGGAGGAGACAGGCCTGAGCCCTGTGGTCCAGCTGTGCCTCTGGAGTGAATTTCACACCATCACGAACTACTCAAAGGAACACGCTGTTCAGTGGAGGCAGGGATACCCAGGCTTTGGAGGCAGATGGACCTGGATTTGACTACTTATGAGCCATAAGACTCCATGTAAGAACTTTAACCTCCTTGAGTTTCCATATGGAAAATGGAGTTGACAGGTACTGTGAAGACTTGAGATTATGTAGGAGTCAGGGTCTGGCATATAGTAAAAAATAGAAATTAATATTGTTTTTGTTGTTATATAACAACAAAAAGTTGGGTTGCTATATAAAATTTGGAAGGTGACTCACTAGAAGTTCTATCATAGAAATGGAACTAAAGATCCAGTGTCAGTGTTCCTGGCATCATTTTCCAAGGGGAATCAAGAAGGTGCTGGTGCCCTGGAATAGCTGGGGACAGACATTTCCAGGGAAAGAGCCTAAGTTTTTGACCTCCACTCAGCCTCTCTCTCTGTGTGGCACCTTGTTGCATCCACTTGTCCACAAGGTAGGCCCTGGCGGGGTGGCCTGCCTACCTGCTCTGTGGCTGCACCCCCTGGCCAGGGCTCTGAAGGCTGCCCCCCCACTCCCCGCAGTGAAACTGAACCTGCTCCCGGGCATGCACATCCAGGGCCTCCCGTCCCGCTACAGCGCCACGCAGCTCCACCTGCACTGGGGAAACCCAACCAACCCCCTGGGCTCTGAGCACACCGTCGGTGGGAGGCACTTCGCCGCGGAGGTGAGTGAGGCGGCCAGTCTGTGAGAGGCTGTCTGGGCTGCCCAGCTGTACTTGCCTGTCCCCCCTCCACCTGGAAGGTGAGCAGAGCCACCGGAAGGTCAGAGCCAGGGTGGGCTGCCTCCTAGCTCCCCCCTAGCTCCCCCCTGCCTCTGGCCCTGTCCCAGGCACAGAAGGCTGCAGCTCAACTCAGTGTCCTGGTCCCTTTCTTCTCCTGGATATTCTGAGTTTGTCTCTATCGCTTTTACTGAGCGACCCTGCTATCTCTTTTACTTGCTCCCAGGGTAGCAAGTGAGATGCTCCCTTTCTAGACATCATTCTCCTATCTGCACAGATAAAGATCTCATCACTGCTCACTCCTGCTGGGGTCTTCGCTCCCCACAACTCTCTAGTCTTTCTTCAAATGTCATTCTGTCTTTCCCATCCCATCTTTCCTTTCCTTCAGCATGGGTTTGTTTGGGAACATGGGTCCAGGGCCACTCTTCTACTGGGCCACAGGTCAAAGGATGACTGGCATCATAACATGCAGGGCGTCATGGCAATCAGAGACTTGCTGAGCACAGCCCATTATTGTATTGTGTTACCCTGATAGGCCAAACCAAAATGCCAAGAGAGGGTGAGAGGCAGGATGGAGCATTGTTCATATACAAGCTGAGGATGGGATGAGGTGGGGAGGGGGTTGGGGTCCTCCATTTCTGAGCTCCCACAGCTCTGAACTAGGGGTGTGGCTCTGAGTGTTTGCAGAGAAGTACAAGGATGCAAACCCTGCTGACTGATCAGCCGGGGGAGCCAAACTAAACAAGGATGTGACCCATCTCCTCTGTTCATAACTGCTGAACTGTTTGATGTCTCGGGCTAACAAAAGGTCTAGTTATAAGGGTTCAGGCAATGGACTCTGGCCAAATAAGATGGCACTGCCAGAGGCTTACCTATTTCAGAGCAGGCCCTTCCCTGAAGCTCAAGAATGGCAGTTTCTTCCAGGATAATTGCAATGCGAAGGCTTCTTCCCTCCTGGGAAACAAAGAAGGAGGTAGGGTATAGGTTGAGAGGGTTTAGACATTTAAAAAATATTTCTAGGCTGGGTGCGGTGGCTCACGCCTGTAATCCTAGCACCCTGGGAGGCAGAAGCAGGTGCATCACCCGAGCTCAGGAGTTCAGAGACCAGCCTGAGCAACAGCAAGAGCCTGTCTCTACTAAAAGTAGAAAAAACTAGCCAGGCGTGGTGTCCGGCACCTGTAGTCCCAACTACTCAGTTGGCTGAGGCAAGAGGATTGCTCAAGCCCAGGAGTTTGAGGTTACTGTGAACTATGATGCCACGGCACTCTGCCCAGAACAACAGAGTAAGACTCTGTCTCAAAATTTAAAAAAAATTAACATTGAAAATATTTCTAGTGATGGTATTTGCTATTAAGCCTCATCATCAGACCAAGGGACTGGTTAAGATGGACCATAAATGCCAACACTATAGAAAAGATATCAGGGTGACCCTGAAGTGACAGATTCTCTATGGAGAGTCCTTAAAAGTGTAGCAGTTCTTCTGGATGGAGTTGATATAAGAAGACTCTATCTTAACCCCCTCGGCTAAGGAATCCCTGATCCAAGAATTCCCTGGTTTGGTCTTTGCTTCTGTTCATTTAATCTGAACACAATAAGAGAGTGCTCAGAGAGGCCACAAGCTCAAAGGTCAGTGGTAAAAAGGAATAAGGACCTAGGCCCTTGAGGGTTTTAGCCACACAGAATTCAGATCTTTTTCTCAGAGCACTGCCAGGCCAAGACTGTGTGGGCAATGAGGCAGAGTAAGTCCTTTAGGGTGAAGATAGTGAAGCAGGTACCCTCAAGAAGTCCTTAACAGAGGACCACCTAAAAGAAGGAAGGATTTGAGATAATTTTTAAAAATTAGAAAAGCCACTTGAAAAGTTTAAAATGGGGACATTAAGCTGTATGCAGTGAAATATGCTTGAATTCTATTTATGAACACATGAGATGGGGGGAAATGAATGAGGGGAAAAGATAGGAAATTTCAATAAATCATAGTCTCAAGAGCAAAGAATCAACAAAAAATGTGTGTGTTGTATAGATAGATCTATGAATAAGGCTTTTTGAAGGCCAGGCGACACCTTTAGGATTAAAAATTAGGTTAAACATTGTCAGAATTTGTCAAAAACAATGGTCTTAATACATACATAGACTTGCAAACCCAGGATTTCTCAGAAACTTCTTTTTCTTACCTTAATAATGACAAGTAATTTCCTCTTTGAAAAAAATGAGTTTAGAATTTTATTTTATAAAATGAAAGTCTATATTCATGACGTAACATTCTTGTTTTGTAGCCTCTTAAAATATGGCTGATAAAACCTTTTTAAAAGCCTCGCTGTGGTATTTCTCCAACTGAGGCATAAATCCGCTTCCTGTGCTGAATACAATTATAATCAAGTGACAGCTAGAGGTTTCGTGCCCCACCCCCACTGCTGCCAGATCAAGTGCAGAGGGGCCAGGGCTGGACAAGCCACATGAAACCATTTTGCCCTAGGCTCCAGAATAAGTAGGAAAAATCAGAATGGAGAAGTGTTCCAAGGTACCCAAGCCTTTTTATGGCTAGTATAAGAATTCCTTCATTCATCCTTTCATTCGCTCATGTCTTGTGCACCAGGTACCTCCTAGGAAATGGATCAGACACTGGGGAGGCAATGTGTGAATAGGATAGAACAGTCTGCCTTGGTGAAGTTTGCAATTTAGAGAGGACTGAGGACGAAGGAGGAGAGGATCTGAGAGACCTCATCTAGCTCCCGGGGCGTGGAGGGGACAGCGGTCTGTCCTCCCAGCTGGATTCCAGTCTCCTGCAGAGGTAAAAGGTTCCCAGGAGGCGCTCATTCCCTGATAGATGTCTTCTCTCCTGCACCAGCTCCACATTGTCCATTACAACTCAGACCTGTACCCCAACGCCAGTGCTGCCAGCGACCAGTCAGAAGGCCTTGCCGTGCTCGCAGTTCTCATTGAAGTAAGAGATGTTTGGAAGGTTTTTACATGAAATCTGAAGGTGGGTGAGACTGGGATTTGACGCGTGTGTTGGGAATGAGCTGCTCCCGCATGGGCAGTCTTGTCTCCAGAGCTGTCTCCCCGCAGAGCTCCTCCTCTCTTATGGGAGAAGGGGTCATGCCACCCATCGGATGCCCAAACCCCTGATACAACTCCTGGCACTCAAGCTCCAGCCCATATATTGGCCCTAGAATGAATTCTTTCTTAAATCCCAGGAAACTGGAATGTCTTTTGATCGGCTTTTTTTCCTAAAGAGGCAGCATGTACCTCATTTCTCTACATGTTAACTTATGTGACTTGGCTTCTGGAACCCAAAGCTCCCCTAAGTTCTACCTGAGACAAACAGCTAATTGTGGCCTTTAGGCTGTCATCTAGATCATCAGGAGCACATACTATCCCCTGTCCCAGGACATGTGAGCCCGATGCCTTAAGTATAAACAGGATATCCTGAGATACAAGGGCAGTACCATTACACTGACTCCCAATAGCCCAGGAATCCGTCATAACTGTTCTAATAAGGTGGCGCCTTTAGGGAGGACCTCAGCAGTGTGGCAGCAAACCCCCAGCTTTGCCCTTTCTCTAGCAAGTGTCAATCCCAGCTCAGTTTTCCTCTTCTGTCCCAGTTCAACCTCCCCGGTCTCTGTTGCAGATGGGCTCCTTCCATCCCTCCTATGACAAGATCTTCAGTCACCTTCAACATGTCAAGTACAAAGGTGAGCCGTCCTTGGATGCCTATTCATTGTCAGCTGGGGAAAGAAGCAGTCGACCCTGTGTAACTAAGAAGAACAAATGAGATTGGGTGTCGTGGCTCACGCCTGTAATCCTAGCACTTGGAGAGGCCCAGGCGGGTGCACTGCTTGAGCTCATAAGTTTGAGACCAGCCTGAGCAGAGCGAGACCTCATCTCTAAAAAAAAATAGCCAGGTGTTGTGGTGGGTGCCTATAGTCCCAGCTACTTGGGAGGCGGAGGCAAGAAGACCTCTTGAGTTCAAGAGTCTGAGGTTGCTGTGAGCTATGATGCCATGGCACTCTATCAAGGGTGACAAAGTGAGATTTTCCCTCAAAAAAAGAAGAACAACAACAACAAATGCAAGGAGTGGGTGCTGCTTGTATTCAGCAGGTTAAGGGCACTGGGTGGGTAGAATGGCCCTGAAAGGGGTTAGTCCAAATTTCTAGGTTCGCTTACTGTGCTCAAGAGGAGTTCTGTCCTAGGGAGGGAGGCTATCACCACCCCCACTCCCAATATGTCTCTCCAGGCCAAGAAGTGTCCGTCCCAGGCTTCAACATTGAAGAACTGCTTCCCGAGAGGCTTGCTGAGTACTACCGCTATAAGGGGTCCCTGACCACACCTCCTTGCTACCCCACCGTGACCTGGACAGTTTTCCGAAACCCTGTGCAAATTTCCCAGGAGCAGGTAACTATTGTCCCGGACTCAGCTGGAGTCCACATGGCACCTCAGTCTCCACCATCACCCATATCATGGTCAATGGCCTGACATCCTCACTTAGAGTTCCACTGGCAGCTATTCAAAACCTTTCAAGTTATCACGGGTTCCTGAAAGCACTGCAGAAATTTCAGGCTGAGCTTTAAAAGAAGAGCTAGCTAGTCAAGCTAGAAAATGAACACACACCTCGCAGATCTTTGAAAAAGAGCTGGACAGCTGCATTTGCTGATATGCCCTTCAGTGGCTAGATGGCATTCACTTCCCAGGCAGGAAAAAACCTGGTTCCTTTACAGGGCTGAATAAAGGTAGAATCAGGTTAAATCACTGGGAAGCTGGGATTGCAGCAACGAGGATGTGAGGGTCCCTGGCCTCAAGAAGCCCACAGCCTAGTGTACGCTGGGGAACAAAATCCTTAGCAATCATCTCTAAACTTATTTCATAGGGAATGGAAGTGAGGGGTAGAAGCTTATGGAACCGTCCTCTGGTTAATGACAAAGCCAAGACCCAGTCAGGCCATCTGAGTTGCAATTGCCACTCATCCCTCTACACCACAGCCTAAATACATGAGAAGGAAAGTGGCTCCCCAGGAGAGGGGGCCAGCGCTGCACACAGGTCACAGCCCCCGCCCAGCTTCAGGAGTCGGGGGCAGCCCTCACTGTCGCCCTTTCTCTTTACTATGAGCTTCTGGTCTGAGTCACATAGATAAATGGCAGCAGGTAGGGAGACGAGAATGAGGATGTGAGGAATCAAGAGATGCGGCATGTGGGGAGGCGGCAACCTCCTAACCAGAGACTGCCTTGGAAACGGGTTATACAATCCACCTGGGTGCGTGAAAATGTCATGGCACCCACAGCCAGGTGATCTGCGAAAACTCTTACATCCCTGCTTTTATTCCTGCTGATGTGACCATTAGAACACGTCCTGGGCCCCTCTGATTTAGAGTTGGGTTCCAAGTCACCTTCCTGAGAAGAAGGCGGTCTCCGTGAAGGGCTAAGGAGCCCTCCTTCGGCCTCGGCTCCCCTTCATGCCGGGCAGATTCTAGGTGTAATCAGGAGCTAGCAGCACTGCCCTTCTGCAGAGCCTGGGGAGCTAGGCAGACAGACACAGTGCTGCCTGGCACCGGTCACCCACTGCTGTCAAGTCTCCCACCCAGCACCACAGGGGCTGCTTCCAGAGGCTTTCCCCGTCCCAGAGGGCGGCCGGGCCAGGAGCATCACTCTGCCCTTGCCGGGGGGGGGTTTGCTCTTCCCTTCAGCTGATGGCTCTGGAGACAGCTCTGTACTGCACAGGCCTGGATGACCCTTCCCCCAGAGAAATGATTGACAACTTCCGGCACGTGCAGAAGTTCGACGAGAGGTTGGTGTATATCTCCTTCCAACAAGGTGAGGCGGAGCAGCGTTTGTGAGGGGTGTGCTAAGATGTGGGCTCTTTTGTGTGAAGTCCAATTCAGGCACAGATGCCCTCAGGAGGTGGGTTAAGAACCCTGGTTGTCACTGGGTGAGGCATGGGACTTATTCAGGTCTGCCCTCACTGCTCTCCGCTTCCCTGCATCTTTGCAGAAAAGCACAAACCTCCAGGCACAAGCACCAGGGCCCTCATTGTGTCTGGAGTCTCCCCCAGATGGGTAAAGGGGGAGTTCTTAGGGTCTTCTCTGCTCTGGACAATGACCCCATCTCCTGAGATTCAGGAAAAGGCCCTTGTCATGAGATCAGACTTCTAACTTCTCATTGGAGGCTTTCTTGGCATCCGAGGCTGTAGCCACCCCATCTTAGTTAGGCCTGGACAGGTGATTCCTGCACCACCAACAGCTGCTCAGGGATGTTCTTTTGTTAGAACAAAATAGTGGGCATAGGCCATGTCCATGGCCACAGTAGCTTATAGTGGGATGGGGCTTGTGAGGCAGCCCTTTCTTTTTGTTAAATCTCCCTGGTGCTTGCATAAGCACAGGCACATTTGTTCCAAATTGAACAAAGCTTCACAGCTTGGTTTATTCCTAATGCTGCGAGTTCTCCATTCTTCCTTTTAAATCTGTAACCATCAGGCCCCAGGAGGACACTGACAGCCGTCCTTGCTTACGTCAGTGCCCGTCTCAGTACTGCAGGAAGCTGGCAGTCGAGGAAAGGGTGAGGGAGCACTCTTGGGGCCTGCACCCTTCTTCCAACCTCTGACTTCACTTTCTCACTGTAGGTTCTTGATTGGTTCCCAATTTGGGAATCGGGTGGTCAGAAGCGTGCCAGTTCTGTGGAAGCTCCATTTCATGCCCTAACATCACTCGTGTTTAAAGATAACCCTTAACCACTTGTCGGAGAATCCACTCTCCTCATCCCACCTGGTGTGCTTTTTAAAAATTCCTTTCTTATCACATGAGATTATAACTATCAGCTGCTAAGCTTAGTGGACGATAGTTTCAAGGTTCTTTCTAGAAAATTTTAGAAATGTGCCCTGCTGAATTGAGATGTACTTACCATCAGAATGATGTTCTTCTGTCAGTTAAGAACCACCCCCCAAATTTGTCTTTTGTTTTCTCTCTCCAGATACTCCTAGTTAAGGTCATTTCCCTCTTTTCCCTAGTTACTCAGTCTGAAAATGGAATTGGTGAACGTTCGCCTTCCTAAAAATGGAGAGCTTATATATCAGTTTCTTTTCTAGAAAATGACCTGAATGCACAGAATTATCCCTTTGTAGCTATTCTGGACATGACATTCTCTTTTCTCATTCTTCTAAATGGACAATATGGTATTGAAAGGTTAAGTGGAACTACTTCAACTCTTAAATAAAATAAAAACCATAAAAACTCTGCCAGGAGATAAGGGACTTTGTCCACCTATGTAGATTAGGTAGAATTTTGCTTGTGATTCAAAGACTTCCTTATGAGCTCCGCTCCCTGGCTAGTCTATGCTCATCCCAGGGAACAGGGTAACAAATACTCTTCCTGTCGTCAGGGGGTGTACGAGGTCAATACCTTGCTTTGTTTTCTGCTGGCTGTAGGATGAGGACAAATCATGTCCCTTCTTCGGCTTTGGTTTCCTCAGCCATAAAAGATGCCAGGTTGGACTCGGTGATCTGACCTCCTTTCAGTGCTAACATGTTGTGCTTCTAAGTGACACTAACAACTGCCAATCCCGACTTTACATTGCAGGAACAGAGTTTGAGGGCAGTTACAGAGGATCAGAAGAAACCGTGCAGCATCTTGAGTCTGACATCAGAAGTAACCCCCACTTGTAACAATGCACTGTGGCACTGGGAATAATTAGCCATCTTCTTAGACCAGCTCAGGTCTAAGCAGGTGCTTGTGGAGTGGGCAGTGCAGCTGGGTGTGTAGCAGAGCGCTTCGATAGATTCCTCTAGTCTGGCTGCGGGAGCCGGAAGGGCCTCTAATCTAGTCTGGCTGTGGGAGCCGGAAGGGCCTCTAAGCAGAAGCTGATAGACCAGCTCCTAGCGAGGAAGTCAAGGTCAAGGCCCAAATGCAGCTTTGCCACTGCCCCTCCTGCACAGCTTCCCCAGAGGGGCTGCCTCGCCCATGCTGGGCCCAGGTTTCTCCTTGGAGTGAATCTCTGGCAGTTCAAGGCAAACCTGTTCATTTGGAGGCTGATTATAGAAACTTGGCCAGAATTCTCCCATCCTTCTTACTTCCCCAGATAAGACATAGGCGGCCAACAAGGTTGCTTCCCACTGAGCAGGGAGGAGGGAGCCCCAGACCTCTTGTGCTCCTCACACCCAACACAGGTCAGGCCTCAGACTGTAAGATGCTGTTCTGGTTTATGGTGGGACACTATTTGTTAATGCGACCCTGGAATGATTTGGGATCACTTATTTGTAGGCTCTTCCACTGAGGCACGTTTTAGTTAATGGTTTGGTTTATTTGGGATTGTCTCTGTAAGTTAATAAGAACTATAGAGTCAGAAAATTTCTGCTACTAGGAAAGTAACGTTAGGGAAATCCTCTGGGAGAGAAAGTGCGTAGACTGGGGCAGGGCCTGAACGACAGTTGGGAACCATTTACCCTGATCCCACTATTTCCTAGACTCTGCTTAGAAAAGGAGTACAGGGCCTGGTTTCTATCAGGAGTTTAAAACCTAGGCTATAAACCAGCCCGGGGCAGAATTTCCCATCCTTGGCACTATTGACGTTCTGAGCAGGATAATTCTTACCGTAGGGCTGTCCCGTGCACCGTAGCATCGGCAGTGTCCTGGGTCTCTACCCACTAACTGTCCACTCACCTTCCCAGCAGTGACAGCCAAAAACATCTCCGGGGAGGAGAGGCAACGTTTCCCGAGAAACACTGCCCAGGGGGTACACAGTGACTTTCATAGGCCCAGGACTGATTTTTTCCCCCACTCATACCATAGGACTCTAGAGTTTCGTATCACATGTGTCCCCTGGGTTCTTTTATGGCATGAAACTTTTAGTCTGGTGAGGAAACAATAAAGCTGAAGTTACTGAGGTAGACACAAACTCAACGGAGTTTTCCATCTTCCTTTAGAATTTGAGTGCATATTCTTTTTTATAACATGCAATTGGGTAAGGCTAAGAGAACTGGCATGAGAGAAAACGATGCTCCCGTAGGAGAAGCAAACCAATCCCTTAACAAGGGTCCAGAGGCCTCTGAAGTTGCAACTGTCTTCAGAGTTGCTCTTCGTTCTTGGCCTCCCTCCCCTCCCTACACATTTTCCCTCTCTTGTATGTTACGTTTCTTGTTGCTGTTGGTTAAAACGTTTTCTCTATGGAAAAATGAAAGTCATGCCAGGCACTTTTTTCCACTCTTAGAAAGTGCCTCTTCCCAGTGGCCCAGGAGGGAGATTTGAGCTTCAGGAGGGACCAAGACTCATTGTCCTTGAGGCGGGGTCCTGGGAGAGGGACCCGTGCCGGACCCAGTGGAGGTTTCCTAGGAAGTCCGATGCTCTGAGTGGGAACAGGAAACACTGCAGGGGCCACAGCTTAGGGCTCTGGCCCAATTCCTGGTTCCTTTTGGTTTGACCTGCTCCTGGCCAGTGACACCAGCACAGGGGCCAGATGGTGATAAAGCAAGAGCCTATCAAAGCCAAATACTCCCATTATCTCCTCCGATTTTCAACATGTCAGGGCAAGGGAAACCCGAGAAACAGAAGGAAGCCAAGAAGTTTCTATAATCGTGTTTAGTGGGCTTGCTCTGAGCAACTGCATGTCACAGCCACAGAGCCCAGGGCCAGCTGAGGGGCACTCAGATGAGAGAGCCAGGTGGCTGGGGGAGGGCAAATCTGTGGACAGCATGACTAGAACCTGCTTGACCCTAATGGCCTGGGCAGTTGTATAAAACCTTGGTGGGGGGTGTGAGGGGTGCTCAGAGAGAGAGGGAGAGGGAGAAATATGACACAGCTAAGATGGCTAATTAACTTTCAGGGACTAGAATACATGTGTTGTGGTTATTGACCTTGTGTTTTTTAAAGTTTCTATTTATAAATAAAAGCCACTGGAAGAGAATCATCAATTCTTCTAAAGTATCCAAATGAGTAACCAGAGGAATCCCTAGATCTGGATCAGGGGACCAAACAGCCAGGCTCAATGTCAAAGAAGTAAAGTCCTAGCACCTTCAACGTGCTACATGTTTCCTGAGCACAGCCTGAGTTACGTGTTCCGTGGGGGCAGAAAACTCCACCACAGGTGTCATCCTGCTCCTAACCACAAGCTCTGCCCAGAGCACACCGTGTTCAGGGACGACAGTGGGAAAAGGGGCCGGGCAGAAGGCTGGACCCACCTGGTGAGGGGCCTCGCTCATCCCTTCAGATCATCTTCCCATGGCCCCCATCCCTGCCCTCTTGGCTTTGGCTTCCAAACCGTGGGGCTTCCCTCATGTTGTACTAACTAGTGTACATACTAGTCCCTGTGTCTCAGATCCCTCGCTCTCTCCCCTACCTGGAAGATTCTTTCCAGACCCAACTCTAATCAAATCCTCCTGGAAGTTGCCCCCATTCCCTGGGGCGACTTACTATCTCCAGAACCACATCTTCATCTCTGGTATGGTTCTCAGCACACCACAGAGCAAGAAAGAAATGTATGTATCTAGCATACGCACAGGCTCCTTAAGGACAGGGGTGATCGACATCTGGCGCATTTTCACACTCGTTATAATCCTGTTGACAGAATTCCCCTGACCAGTCTCCCGTCTCATCCCCTCACCAGCATCTTCTCTGCAGGGTGATTTTTTTTCTTTTTTCTTTTTTTCCCTTTTTATTTAAAAAATATGGAACGCTTCATGAATTTGCGTGTCATCCTTGTGCAGGGGCCATGCTAATCTTCTCTGTATCGTTCCAATTTTAGTATATGTGCTGCCGAAGCCAGCACCTCTGCAGGGTGATTTACACATAAGCCTGATGGTTGTCAAATTATAGTTTTATTAAGTCATATTTTGCTCTATTCTCAACTTGCTGACGGTGTTAAAACCAACCCATTTGTTGAAGAAAACTTAAAGACCAGAACTTAGCAGTCAAGCGTTGAAGGTCTGAGACAACCTCACCTAGAGATGCTTTTTTGTGCTTTCTATTGCTCTTGATAGGAATGAAAGGCCCCCGTCCCACCACCCCTTCCTTCAGCACAGATAACCAGGGCTGCTGAAGGCGGCTGGGAGGAGTAGGCACCCTGTGCTGGTATTGTAACCCACCTCGCTGCTGCAGGGCGTGGGCCCCTTGGAGTAACGAGGCTCTCTGCTCTGCGTCTGCTTCCTGCAACCTGGAGGCAAAGCCCTCAGTCCTTCTCCTGGTTGTATAAAACTAGTTCCCTTGTGTAATCCGGTGATAACTTTTGGGCAGATTTCTTTGTAGGAATTATTTCTTTTTTAGGTTGCTTAGTATTAATAAGGAAAACTTCCCAGTTAAATATGTCCTCCAAAGATAGTTACATTCTGTGACTACTGAGGGCACCTCCCTTGTTTTTCTTACCAAAGTGTCATCCAAAGACAATACTAATATTATAGTTACTTGACTCTCTCTCTCTCTTTTTTTTTTTTTTTGGAGACAGAGTCTCAAGCTGTCACCCTGAGTAGAGTTATCACAGCAACCTCTTGGGCTTAAATGATTTTCTTGCCTCAGCCTCCCAAGTAGCTGGGACTACAGGCGCCCACCACACACCTGCCTATTTTTTGGTTGTAGTGATCATTGTTGTTTGTTGGGCCCGGGCTGGATTTGAACCTGCCAGCTCCGGTGTATGTGGCTGGCGCCCTAGCCGCTTGAGCTACAGGCACCGAGCTGACTCTCTGACTTTTATTAAGTACAATAATAGGAGTTTTTACCATTGTAAACTGTATTTCATGTATTAATTTACTTATTTTGAGACAGGGTCTCACTCTGTTGCCCAGGGTGGAGCATCAGTGGCATGATCCTAGCTCAATGCAACCCTGAACTCCTGGGCTCGAGTGATCCTCCTTCTTTAGCCTCCCAAGTAACTGGGACTATAGGGTGTGCCACCATGCACAGCTGATATTTTTTGTAGAGATGGGGTCTCACTATGTTTTCCAGGCTGGTCTCAAACTCCTGGGCTCAAGTGTTCTTCCTGCCTTGGCCTTCCAAAGTGCTGGGATTACATGCTTGAGCCACTATATCTGGACAGTTTTAGGTATTTGAACTATCAAACTACTGATAAGCTTAAGTTCTCCTAGCCTCTTTTACTAGGGACTGCTCTGGGCTCATATATTGCATGTTTAGGAGGTTGGGCAATTAAGTTGGTGAACTCATCCTAGAAAAAGTGCTAGATAATTCATTGCTCAATATCACTCTGGTCACCTTCGAAGTACTCCCTTTGGGAAGCTGTGCCCTGATGCCAGTGCCTAGTCTACCCTTCAAAGCAATTTTGGAACTCATTTCCTGGAATCGCCATCAGGATCTGTTATCATATGAGATCTGACAGTGAGGTTCATGAACTGGTCCTAGAAAAATTGCTTTGAAAGAAGGACTAGGCCCTGATGTTGGTGCCTGGCTTCCCAAGGGGAGTATTTCCAAGGTGACCATAACGTAGCACTTTTTCTAGGATGAGATTGCAAATTTAATTTTCTGGCCTCGTATATGTTATCATCATGTAACATGCCATCTACCAAAACAGTTGGTACATTAAAATAATACTTTGAAAAGAAAATGATTGTGTTTCACAATCACAGTTGCAAACAGAGCTTGAAAATACTAGACTGTTGTTCTAGGAACCCCAAGATGTGTAAGTGAGGTGGTCATTCCTCCTGCTGGACTTTTCTGTGTTTACGCTTGAGGCTTCAGAAGACCTCAAAAGCCATTAACCAGCTTCCCTCTGTCCAGCATGATGCCAGCGGAAGACGCAGCTCCTGGGCCACAAGAGGTAGCAAGGCCCCTGTGGCGAGCAACTCACCCGCCGCCCTTCTCCAGGTGTCTGCACCTTCCTGGGTGAGGTGTGCAACAGTTAAGTCCTGCTGTGTCCGTGTGAGTTCCTCCTGTGTGTCTACTGCCCTGTTCCTGCTCACCCTGGCCCACCCCTGGGCACGCTGTGGACAGCAGGCAGCTCCCCATGTCCCCCATGTCCGCAGTGCACTCCCCTCCCACCAGCCTGCTCGGGAGCCCCCCGCCGTACAGTTCCCATTCAGTGGCTCTCGTAGCCCACCCCTGTCAACTGTTCTGTCTTTATTTTTCTTCTGTTTGTTCCATTGTTCTTCCATGGGAACTGCCTGTCTTAGTCTCTGTGCAGAAGTAAGCTGTTTCTCTGTTTAATCTGAAAGTAAATTTTGCTGGCTCTGTACCATCTTTGATGCCTGTTCTCTCACCCAGCCGAGGCTCTGCTGGGAAACAGGCTTTGGCTTCTTTCTCAGGCTCTCGTTCTCCGGGAGCCCTGTGCCCCGGAAGTGTTGCTGACTTTCCTTTAGTTAGCAGTGCTTAGGCATCTGCCTCCAGCGGGACCCCAGTCTGTCTCCGCTGAGAAGCCCTGCTTCCGCAATGGCTGGTGCCATCTCCTTGGGCAGGGAAGATGAGCATCTTCTTGCCTTGGGCTTCAGAGGTGGGAGGACTACTAAGCAACCCCCTCGCCGCCACTCCTGTTCCTTAGTGGCTTGTGGCCTTGGCTTGCTCAGGCATGCTGCTCTACTTTTGTTGCATCAAAGTCTTGGCTGAAAGCATCTGTCCCTGTCTCTGGGATTTTCCTCGTCTTCACGGCTGTTTGGTCTTATTTCATGGTTTCCAAGCAGAGGCACTTTAGGCTCTGTGGTCATCTAGGAGCAAAGAGTCCAGGAGACAGAAATGGATTGAGTTGTCCTTGGTTTGCAGGGCTTGTAGCAGTCAGGAGCACTGCACAGTGGTGGGGAAGCCAGACTCTCCCTCCAGAGAAGCCATTAAGTGGGCCCTGTGCTCTTGAGAAAGGTCCCACCCTGGGGTCCTTGCTCTCCACAAACTCTGCTCAGCTGCCTACGGCCATGACATGACGGGCACCTCCCCCAGGCCTGGACTGGGGCTGCTGAGCCATCTGAGGGGGTGCCAGTGTGGCTCTCAGGATGTTTGAGGTGACTGTGGACTGTGAAAGAGACGACTTCAGAAACTGTCCAGTTTGGACGGCTTTGCTGAGTGGTCAGACTCACTAGGAATAGTCTTCGTGTGGTGAGAACGGGCTTGGTGCCACAAGCACCGGGGCTTTAGGAACAAAATGTATTTCACTAAAAGGCTCGGAAAAGAAACCAAGGTTTTAATTGACTAGGTTTTAATTTGCTTGTTTTTTCAAGATCCCAAGGACCAAGTCTCTAGATACCTTTAAAAAACAACCAACAAACCCTAATACCAAGTCACACTGTGCAGAGGCCACGGGCCATGCAAGAAACAGAGCATGCGCTGTGTAAACACCTGAAGCTCTCCCCAGCTGGAGACTCCTGTCCTGAGCACCTCTACCAGACACAGGCTTGTCCTTGTGCTCAAATTATGAGAGGAGGCCCTAGGCAGGGAATGTAGCCAGGGGAGCCAGTCTCTCTGCCACTTGGGAGGCCTGAGCTGCTGGTAGCGGCCAACAGAGCAGGGAAAACAGTTCTTGTCCATGCCTGCTCTGCTCCCCTCCCAGCAGCCTGGGACCACCTGGGGAGGCCAGACCAGGACTCCCCAGGGGCCAGCCTCCGGGGCAGGGAGATTTTGTAGGGAAAGTTCAGAAGAAGACACACCTGGGAAAGACATAGCTGTGTCTTGGGGAATCAGTCAGACCCAGTCCACAGGACAGGAGAAGAGGTGGTGCTGAGCAAAACTTCACCCTGCAGCCTCAGGTCTGGTTTCCAGGGTGTCAAGTGGCCCAAGGCGAGTCCCTGGCTCTCTGCTGGTGTCTCACACTTGTGCAGTGCTCTCCCCGGGTCTCACTCACCATGGTGGGCTCTGTGGGCAAGGCTGTTCTGTGTGTCAGGCTGGGTGGCCCCCATCTGTACACTTGTAGTTTACAGAACTGGTCTGGCTTCCCCAGGTAGATTATGGGAGAAGCCATAATCGTCTGGTTCCATGTGGCAGAAAAGGGAGGCTGGGATGCTGGAGGAGTTTGTCTCTTAGAACCAAGCAAAAATAGAACCAAACCACGATGCCAGCCTGGATGGTGCGGGGTGAAGTCTGGTGCAGGCAGCTTGCTAAGGAAGAAGAGCATAGGTCCCAGAGAAGTGCATGATAGCCTGCCAAGTAGGCTCTGATTCTCCCTTCCTCACCTTCCTTCTGTGACCACATTGCATTAAACCCTGAGGTCTTGCCCTACCTAAGAGACTGCCGTGATAAAAGAGCACTGGAAGGAGAGACCACAGTATAAATTCCCTAGGGGCAATCCCTCAACTCCAACTAGCCCTCAGTCACCTGAGCTAAACCTTCTGAATAGCCCCAGAAGGTCTGCACAAACTCCGTGCCACCAACCACACAAAAGGCAAAGCATCTCTGAATACACCGTCAAATCTAGCATTGTTTGACTGGAGATTAATTTCCAATCTTTTCCTCCTCCCTTTTAAGTGGAAATCCTTACGGGCACAGGACTGAGTCTGGGTATGTGGCCAGCTGGCTGGCTGTGCATGCTGTAGCGGGGTGATCACTGTGATTCTGGGTGTGATCTGGGCCTGCGACATTCCCGGCCCATCCTCTCTGCTTCTCTGTGCTATCACTCTGGCTCTTGATCCCCTCCTTGCTGTGAATCTTACCCTCAAGTCACTTTCTGATTCAAAGATGAATTGCCAATCAATCAAATGTTCCTAATCACTCTAGAGCATGTGTATATTCCAAGAGCCTCAGGCCTTCTGATTATGGTGGGAGGCCATTGCCTGAAAGCATGCCAGAGCCCAGTGTGGAGGTCAGGTGACTGGCCACGTGACCTCAGCAATGGGCTATTGGTTGTTTGGGACTGCTTAGCACTGTGTGATGGAAATGATAGAGACATCCCAATGGGCCTTAAATCCAGCAGGCACGAATGGAATAAGTTTTTATTCTTTAACTCAGGGTTCATCAAAATGTGGTTCATGGGCCATGTGCATCAGCATGAGATGGAAGTGTGTGGTGAAATGCAAACTCCTGGGTCCCATGCCAAAGAGACTGAATATAGGTCTCTGAGGGTTGCACTCAAAAAAAAATCTACATTGATTTTTGTGAAAGTTTGAGAGCTCCTGCTCAAAAACTACAAACTTTGCAAATGGCCCTCTTTACTCAGCCAGTCCCACTAACCCAAAGACCAGAATCTAAGCAGAGGTGGGGAAATTATACCTTTCTGTGGATGATTATGTAGCTGGGATGTGATTTTACTCCCATGTGTGGGATGAGATGAGGGCAAGGGAGGAGTGTAACGTGTGCCCACTGCCTCCTCATCAGGCATCATCCTCTCGGTGGCCCTGGCTGGTGTTCTGGGCATCTGTGTTATCCTAGCAGTCTCCATCTGGCTTTTCAGAAGGAAGAAGAGGTGAGTTGGTTTGGGTTTTAAGTGGGAATGGGTGGCTTATGTGTCCATGAAAATTGGTCTGTCCGAGAAGGCATCCTCCCAGAATGAAGAGCTGGGTTAACCGAACCAGCAGTTACCCTACGAGTGCACTTCCCAAAACACCTGTGCCCCAGGCCTCTTTTCATGAGACACTGGTTGTTTGAGGGTTATTGCGCTTGGATTTGGAGTGTTGTGGGCCAGCTGCTGCTGCTACATGACCTTGGATGAGACTCTTGATTTGAGGATTTTGCCTCAACAACAGCAGGAAGGCTGTGTCTTCTTACTAAGCTCTTGACCTCTGGGTTTTTTTCTATGAATCCAAAAAGAAAGATGAAGACAAACCTGATCTTTCACTCATGTTAGCTATTAATGCCCTTTGTATACATCATGTTTGGCTTTCCCTAAAACCTAATTTACTTTTTCCTGGTATGAAAAATAAAAAGGTTGCCAGGAACCCTGTTATGGAATCAAAGGTTTGAAATGTGCATTTAGGGGGTGTTAATGAGGCCTCCTTCAAAATGCATGTCTGCCATTGTCAGGTGTTAGGGAGAAGAGCTGGAAAATGGACAGGTTCCTTTTTGGATAATACTTTATATGACGTCATTCTCTCCCAAGACCAACAGAATTGGAGAAAGATCCCAAGGAGAGGAATCTGACTTCTAAACTTGCCTCATTCCATAGCTGAGTCAGGCTGCTCTCTGAGGCACACTCTTTCTCTCTCCCCTCCTGGTTGACTAACAAGATTTGTGTGTTCTTGTTCTAGTAGCAAAAAAGGTGACAACAAAGGCGTCATTTACAAACCAGCCATCAAGAAGGAAACTGAGGTCCATGCCTGAGGTCCCTGGAACTCCCAGGCACATCCAGGGAAGGACCTTGCTTTGGACACTACACACTTGGGCTCTCTGGACCCTCGAGACAGCTCTAGGTGTTCTCTGGAGCTCAACCTGCAAACACCCCAGGCAGCAGGGACTCCCCAGCTGGGTGCCCCCTCACTCTGGCAACATGGCCACCCCCAGTGAGATCCATGGATGAGATGAGCTTTCAGACCAAGAGGCAGGAACTCTGTTTGCTACATTTGTGTGAGATTGTTCAGTTTCTGGACTCTGAGGTCACAAACCAAGCCACCTGTTGGTAGGCTCTTCCTGGTTGGAAAACACTTTCATCCAGGACTTCACTCAAGCATACTCACAAGTGTCCTGGAAATTCAGCTTATTCTCCAAGCTTTCAAACCAAAACATGCAAACTCTCCTTAGGGTTTGCTCCTGAAACTCAAGTTCTTTCCGCAGGGGAAGGGTTGTCTCCCTCTGATTTCCTTCTGCTCTGACAAAACCTGACTTCATAACTCAGGGTAAAAATGAATTGAGACAGGAAAGGTCAAGAGTGAGAGAGAAAACAAGAGATATACCTTGTACTATATCTGGGGCATTTCCACAGGCCTGCCCTCTGGGCTAGGGACATTGGATAGGCAGAGAGAAAGAGAAAGGCAGTTTCAAGTTATGTTTCTTGGTGGGGATGAGAAGGGGGAGTGTGAGGGAGAGAGAAAGAATGAGAGAGAAGACGTATGGCTGGGGAAAGTCTCACTTTGGAATTAGAATTGGAATTCTGGGGTATTTATCTGGTCATAATGGGAGACGGACAGAATGACACAACTTCCTATCGAGGGGGTCACTTGGTTTTATACTCTACAGATTTGATAAATAATTAGGTCGTTACTATAAAATACGGTTTTGCTCTCTCTCCCCTAGAGTAGCTGTGAGCTCTGAGATGACCTAATCTGCTTTTGAATTGGGAGGAAATAGACAGAGGCAGAATGATTATAGAGCTTCATCTCTTTTGGCCAAATTTCATTTCTGCCACTTCTGCAGTATCCCTCTTGCCAAGCTGGAACTGAGACTTATCTACTGCTCTCACTTTAAGGATGTCAAATTGTGATTTAATTAAAACAAATTTTCAAGCTCTAAGAGCAGCCAGTCATCTGTGCAGGGGCTGGCATCATCACGACAGAATGACACTAACATACTCTTGTACCCGCCCCCCAAGTCACACAGATAGTTTCTGCGAAGGTTCCTTCCTGTAGATGTGACGGTCCCATGGAAATCAGTTACTTCCCTGACTGAGGAACCTCTCCCCCTAACCCCTGATAGCTAGCACCTTGCAGTTCATAGAGAACGTTGTAATTCATGATCTCACTGTGACAGCGTGGAATGTCCTCTTGAAGCCTGGTTTCTTCATATTTTTCTCCTTTTACTCCTCCCCCCACTCTGAGAATTTTCTCTGCTATCACAAAATTTCATAATGATGGCAGGTCCTAAGTCTTGGTAGCCAGTTCTGCTAGGCAAGGTCACAAGTGACCTAATGGGGCCCAGATGGTGCGCCTCCAGATAAGTTTGTGTACATGTGCACAAGCCCTGGGTGGTCTTGCAGCCTGGAGTGGCAGTCCAGTCTTGTCATTAGCACGTCTGATGCATAATTTAATGAGAACGTCAGGCCAAGCATCATGGATTACATGGTTTCTTGGCCTTGGTCCAAAACTGTCAATCAGAGACCAATAGTAACCACTTCAGAGCAGTAGAACTGTTTTTCAAAAAACTCTGCATACCTTTTATGGATGAGTTTTGTGAGAGAACAGAGAGGCACAAGGGCTGTTCATAAAAGGGAGACTTCCTGAGAGGTGAAGCCAGTGGCATTTCCTCTCCCTCCCCCTGCTCAGCACAGGCCAGGCTCTCAGCCTCAGCAGGCTAAGACTCAAGAGGGAGGCAGAAAGGGTGTGCCCACACCCACACTGCCAACCTCTTTGCTGATCCTTATGAGACCTAGCGCATCCAGCTTTGGAACTGGGAACCTTCCTTCAGGTCCTCACTGGTTCCAATGACGCCAGCACCACTGAGGGAAGCCAGCGCTGTGGTATGTGTGGCCTGGTGGCCTACACGTTCTCCTCTCTTGCCAGAGGGGCAGGTGGGGAAGGCCAAACTCCTCTGATCTCTCCTTGGCCTCTCATGAGTCTCTTTGGTCCATTTCTTTAATATCATCTGGTAAAAAATTGTAAAAATTCTGGATCTGTTTCTCTAGCAGACGTGCTGCATTGACTCTTTTAATCCCGTTTCAGGCTCAGACTCAGTTCCTCTCTCCTTCACTAACCTCTTTGAAGGCCTCCTGCCGGGCCCTTGGGAAGCATCCCTCAGTCCCTGTGCCTCGGACCGAAGGCCACTGTGATGATGGCCTATTCAGCACTTCTGTATTTATTGTAAGAATGATTGTAATGAAGACACTTGCTGTAAATATAAGAAATTATAAATAAAATGTTTTTCACATCCAACCGATTATTATTTTTTTTTTTTTGAGGAGGTGAGGTTAAAGCAAAAGCACTTTGTAGCCCCCGGTTATGGCGATATGTAACTCATCAGAACAAATGCTAATGTACTTTGCATGTAGGTCTCAGAACCTGGCTCTGGAGGAAACTGCACTGAGGGACTAATGACTCTACTGAGGATGGAGGCCGATGGTGCAGGGTTGCACAGCTGAGTGGGGCTGAGAAGTCTAGAGGAATCAGGGAAACACCCAGGAAGGAGGTGGGATGTGCGCTGGGCCTTGCAGAGCAAGATGGATGGATAAAAGGTAGATGTTCCTAACAAAGGGATGTCGATATAGGGAACAGGTCCCAGGTCTCCTTTTCCTCCCGAGAATACTGTACTTAGTAGGCGGACAGCCTCTCTTGGTCACCTGTTACCTTATTTTGAATCCTTTTTTGCAAAACAAGCTATCATTCTTCATGTAATCTTTTGTCTAAATCCAGATTTCACATTCTGGTTGGCTAAAGAAGGCAGTCCTATAATGTTTACAAATAAGTACCTTCATTGTTTGTTTGAATTATACAGAAAAGCATCCAATTTGACTTTAATTGTCCGAGGACCAAGATATGTGAACAGTTCAAGGGTAATTTGGCTTCAGTGGGTGACACAGCAGCTAGGCCAGCTTTGGAACAGAAACACTGTAAAACCCTCCAGGTCCTGATGGAGTTCAGTTCTCCCCTTCAGCCTCCTTCCAGCTGTCGTGGCCACATGCAGGCATGAAGGCAGGTGGGGAGCAAGATGGAGTTCCCAGGAACAGCCCATTCCTGAGACTTGCTCCCAACTCACTGCGGGAACGCTTCCAGGAGCAGGCAGTAAGCATCTCTTCTCTGGCCACAGCCTTCTTCCCATTCCCTTGAAAAGGAAAATAAAAATCTCAGGACCTCCAAACTCACTATGCTGAAAGGAAAGTTAAACCTAGAGATACCTGATTCACCTAACACCACCATCCTTTTCTCAACCTTTGTGTCAAAACATTAGCCTGACCCTCTCAGAAAGGCAAAGGCCTCATGCATCTCAGATGACCAGCCTCACAACTGCTCATAAGTAAATTCTTTTCATTCATTCATCCATTCACTAATTTAGAAACAGGGTCTTGTCATGTTGTCCCTCCATCAAATAATGACATGTCAATTGTAACTTCAGGTCTGCAACCTAGGTCTACCTCCTAAAGCTGAAGTCTGTTACATTTCACAGTAACAAGCATATCATCCAAGATGCAGAACGGCAGGATGAGATCTAGCATTCCTTCTCCTACTCTGAGGAGTCTGCACTGGCCCCTCTTCCTCTGCTTTCTTTTCTTTTCAACGTTCACCTTATCACTGTGGTCCCCACTCGCAGGCCACTGACAGTCTGGGGCCTGTTAGGAGCCTGCTGGCAGCACTCCACCCCCTCTTCTCCTTCCCACTGTCTCCCTTCATGGAAAAATAGTCTTCCACAAAACTGGATGCACAGCAAGAGGAGCCGGAGGTGAGCCGTGGCCGATCCAGCTAAGCAGCTTCATCTGTATTTACAGCCACCAGCCTCTCCCCATGGCTGGCATCATCACCTGAGTTCCCCCGCCTCCTCTTCCCTCATCGGTGGAAAACTTCTAATGTGAAACCAGTCCCTGGTACCAAAATGGCTGAGGACTGCCGCCTTATCTTAGGTATAATGTAGATCTCCTGGGCACTAAAGTCTCATAAAAATGAAACCATTGGCCTCACAGCCTAGCCTTCTCTTCTTACATGTATAGATCCTGAGACTCCTGAAAACCTCTTTGGAGAGCACAGCCCACACAGATGTTTCTCTGAACTTGTGTTTTTTCCAGACGTGCCCCTGAGCTCTAGCTCCATAAACCTCCACTGACTGAGACTCTTGCCTCAGTCTCTAATTTGGGGTTAACTGAACTCCACATCCACAGTGTAGATGTCATGGTGTTGACAGCCACAGTGTGGCATGGAGCACCCCAGTCCCCCTTCAGCTTGGCCATAACCTTATCATGATTCAGCTAAATCAACAATTTAGAGGCCATAGGCCAAGAGAAATATGATAAAATATAATGCAAAGTACATGCTTAAAAAAAGGTAAAAGAAATTAGTGATGTTAATTTTATTTTATATAACCCAATAGGTCTAAAATGCTGTAATTTTAATATGTACTCAGTATTTTAATATGAGGAAAAAAAAACTTTTTTTCAGTTTTGGCCGGGACCAGGCTTGAACCTGCCACTACCCTCGGTATATGGGGCCGGTGCCCTACTCCTTGAGCTACAGGCGCCACCCTTAATGAGAAATTTTATCTGTAGTAAACTTAGCAATCTGGTATGAATTTTATATTTACAGTGCATCTTGATTCAGATGCTAAATTTTCCTTATAAATATTTGATCTGTATTTAGATTTCGTAAGTTTAGAGTTGAAAAAGACTCAAATACCCAAGTTGCTCCAAACACACTTGTCTCCCAAAGAACTGAATCAAATATCACTTTTTTTTTTTTTTTTTGCAATTT